AAAAAAAAAAAAAAAAAAAAAAAGATTTTTTTTTTAATTTAAATAGGATTTTTTTGATAAAATGCTTTTTGAGGAAAAAACCTATCTAAAGATAGTTTTAATTAAAATACATTATAGCTCAAAGATATCTTATCATGGAATAGGGATTATAAATTCTAATTCTATAGTATGAGACAATATATTCATGCAATGTTTAAGAAAAGTTTTGTAAATGAGTTCCAGTAGTTCATGGATTAGGGACCCAATATTATGGGGTCCCAGGGACTTCTGTATACATTATTTAGGTTAATCTTTCTATCTACCCAATGGGACTGAGTGCTCAGTCTACAAAATACCATCAGAGATGCTTAGTTTGGCAGTTCTCAAACTGTGGATTTGTGTCTCCAGAGATAACATGCTTGCTAACAGCAAAAATGTAGATAGATTATATAGACAGATTAGATAGGAGAAATAACAGACCTCAACCCTATTGTCCCTCTGCAAATTTGTGTACACAAAGTCAGTCCCTTACCTCTCTCTAAAAGTGCAAAGTTTCAAAAAGTTAAATGAACAGAAGATTGTTAGGGGCGGAATACATCTGGACAAGGAGAAGTCTGGAGATAAATGTGAGAAGGGAGGGACAGGCAGTAGAAACAGAAGTGAAACTGTTTGAGCAGCATATTCCAGAAGTTTTGAGGCTTTCTGAGCGTAGCCTTCATTGATTTGATATCTACCATACCATTCTATCACTAGAAGGGAAAACCTATAATGGCAGCAGGCCGTAAAAGAGACCCAGTTTGGGTCTCATCTCTCTCTGAGTTGTGAAGAATATGTATTAAGGTTATAACAACCAGCAAGAATGCACTTTTATGCAGAAATCCATGATTAAATCAAGTCTTCCTGAATAGTGACTGAAATCAAATCCACCCTGGTCGTCTATTTAATTCTGGAGTTTTAGCAGCTGAAATCTGTGGTCCTTAATACTGAACAATCAATAGATGAGGCATAAAGTATAGGAGAATTAAAGTGTGTGTCAAAACTAACAATAATATTTCAAGTCTCACCCAGTGACTCTGCCCTCGAAGTTTATCATTCGACTCTCCCACTATTTCTTCCCATACTACAGCAGTTCTGTCAAAAGAACAGGAAGCCAGGACCTGTCCAAACTCAGGATGAGCCCATGTCACACGCCATACGGACCCACTGTGTGTCTGGGAAATAAAAAAACATTGCAGTCTGAAGTATGCGTATTTCACTTGGAATCATGGGAAATTTCAAGTTAATATCTTATTTTTAAGTAGTATCAAGTTTTCTAGGGAGGTAAGGAATTAAAGCTGTAAAAGCAAAAAAGTAACAAATCTAAAAGGCTTTTAAAGTACTTATTTCAAATGAATCCTCACTGATAAGGCTCCAAATTCTACATCAGCTATATTACTTATTGAAAACCATGTTCAAAATTCCATAGTCACTGGAAAGATCAACTACAAGTTAACCAATAAAGTATATGGGTTTATTTCTCAAGTTTAGACATTACTACTACACTCCTAAATTTGGAGAAGTGGTTAAGAAGCTAAAGAATGTGTATTGACATAGAAATGAAAGCTATATTTTAAACTGCCATATGCTGCTGCCATCATCTCTGGCTTCATGGGCACTTCTCCAAAGTCCATACGGAACACAGTTGATTTTCTTTCCTGCCTGCTGCTCCTTTTTCAAGTCTCTCTGTCTGCCTACTTCTTTTCCTAGAGGAAAAGGACTCCAGTTATACAAACTGCAAAACAACTCAAAAATTGACCACCACAGTTCTCTTGGGTAACTATGCCGATTGGCCTCATTGAGAAGCTCTTTTCCATAACTTTTTCTGAGAAGTCATGTCCTAATACTAGACCCCTCCAAATCCATGGAGATCTGCTTTACATCTGCAGATACCCACGGACCATTTTTGCAGATCCAACGCGGATACAAATTTTGTATCTCCACAGGGCTCTCTACCTATACAGTTGATTAAAATGACTTTTTGCCATTTTCATGTCCCATAATGAGACTAGAACAGGGGTGGGCAAACTTTCTGGCCTGAGAGCCACATTTGGGTGGGGAAATTGCATGCAGGGCTGGGGTTGGGGTGTGGGAGGGAGTGTGGGGTGCAGGAAGGGGCTCAGGGCAGGGGGCTGGGATGCAGGAGGTGTGCAGGGTACGGCAGAGGGGTGGGGCTCAGTAAAAATTAAGTTAATTTACACAACCAATAAAATAGTTTGAAGCAATGATAGAAAGTTATTATAAAGGCTAGATACAGTAAATACCAGTTCCACCATAATAAGCTTTGGTAGAATATTAAAAGAGCATAGCACCAATAAATTCCAATGTCAATACATGCCTCAGTAAGCATGAGCTGTGATGAATATATAAATTTTGGCAAGAAAAGTTGTGTATGTTCCTTGATGCCATAATTTCAACATCTAGCAAAAAGTCTTTAGGGCAGCAGGTTGGGGTGCAGGAGGGGGTTGTGGTGCAGGGTGCAGGAGGGGTTCGGGGTGCGGGCTCTGGCCCGGCGCTGCTTACCTTGAGCGGCTCCGGGATGGCAGTGGCGCACAATGGGGCTAAGGCAGGCTCCTTGCCTGCCCTGGCCCCGCGCCGCTCCCGGAAGCGGCCGGCACCACGCCTCTGCGGCCCCTGGTAGGGGGACAGAGGGCGCCACACGCCCTCGCCTGCGAGTACTTCCCCCAAAGCTCCCATTGGCCACGGTTCCCCGTTCCCAGCCAATGGGACCTGCAAGGGCAGAGCCCTCTGCCCCCGCAAGGGCCACAGAGACATGGTGCCGTATGCTTCCAGGTGCGGCATGGGGCCAGGGCAGGCAGGGAGCCTGCCTTAGCCCTGCTGCGCCAAAGGGTTGGCAATCCTGCAGGCTGGATCCAAAGCCCTGATGGCCTGGATCCGGGCCGTAGTTTGCCCACCCCTGGACTGGAAAATAATCCCAGTGATACACTGCAAAGTCTGAGCAACAATAACCAAAACTCTCTATTGTATTTTGTCTGTTCTGGCTACTGAAGTTACTGTACATTTACTAAACATATCTGTAAATATAATGAAGTCTATAGTAAAAAAAAAAATCACTACAGCCTCTGCTCTTTAAACTTTGAGAAATGGGGTGAAACTGATGGACTTTTTAAAATGAGAATAATTGGATTTGCAAATTAGCAACATGATAATCCGGGAATTTCTACTGTACAAAACTATATGAGCCAGCAAATACTTCAGTAAGATTATTTACTGACAAAATACTGGGGAGTCCCTGGCATAACCATTGATAGTTATACTAAAATAATAATGCTTACCTTCCAGCTGGCAGTACAATGCCAATCCCCATTTTCACTTTTGTCCCAAACCTATTAAGAAACCAAAATGCAATCATATACTTTGTTGATATAAGCCTTTTCTTCCTGCAAGAAATGGAAGGTAAGCAAAACTTACAATACAATCCTTGCACACAGAAGCACAATCCACATATACCATGTAGTAACCTTTTCCCCCTGAAAACCCTGCCCCTTCCTACATACATGCATCTACATGGAGGCAGTTTCAGGACTAGGTTGTAAGGTCAACTCATGCAAGCCATTTGAAAAACAGGAGCCTTATTTATTTTTGTATAAAAAATTTTATTAATAAAGGGACACATCCTGCTCACTTCATCTTAATCTGAGAATAGCATGAGAATTCAAAAAAATCTTAGTTTCACACCCTGTTACACTCAAGGTAAAAGCCTATAATAACTAAGCTGTGAAATTATGACTGCCTACACGTGTGTAAATTATATTATAAAGGTTATTACTGTAAGGCTACTTTGTTCAAAGAAAAATCCAGAATGTTCCACTGTGTCCAAGCAGAAAGATAACTGTATAACTGGAAACAAAACGTTAAAATGGTAAAAACTCAGCATTCCCAATACGGTGGCTGAAAGTTGTAGCTTAACATTGTTGATGTGAATAATTTTTCAACTCTTATGTAGTGATGTTTTTAAACAATTAAATATTATTTCAGTATATATACATCCAACCCAACAATTTTTAATAAAATACTTTTAAGATTAAAATTTTGATGCAACTGACGACCCCTCCCCCTTTGTGGGCCACTGTGGTCTAGTAAACAGGATATGAGGCTGAAGGCTGAATTTCTTATTCCCCCCTCCTCTAACTTCAGTATGATCTTGAACATATCACAACCTCTCTCTGCCTCAGTTACCCCACATGCAAAAAAAAAAAAAGATAATCCTTACCCACCTTTACTGTGTTTTCAAATAAACCATGGAGGTAGTTACTGGTTAGTGCAGATAACTGAGTACACTGGATCTGGAATCTATTCCCAACTCTTCCTCTCATTCACTGTGTAATCTTAGGGTATGTCTACACTACCCACCGGATCAGCGGGTAGCAATCGATCTATTGGGGATCGATTTATCACATGTAGAGTAGACGCGATAAATCGATTCCCGATTGCTCTCCCGTTGATTGCTGAACTCCAGCTCAGCAAGAGGCGGAAGCAAAGTCGACGGGGGAGCCGCAGAAACTGACCCCGCGCCATGAGGACGCGAGCTAAGTCGAACTAAGATATGTCAACTTCAGCTACGCTATTCTCATAGCTGAAGTTGCGTATCTTAGGTCGATCCCCCCCAGTGTAGACCAGGCCTTAGATAAATCATGTTGCCTCCAGGCCCCACTTTATGGCCCTCTGATGCGACCCTGGTTGTAACCAGTTTAGGACACAACCACAGTTACAAACAATTTCCTAGATTTGTACCCTATTTGTAAAGCAGACGGGACTAAAAAATTACCAATACGTAACTTACAGGAGCACTGTGATACATAATGAATGTAAATCTTATCAAGGTTCTCTGATAAAAAGGTGCTATTATAAATGGAAAGTAATATTATAGTGTTCACGCAATGAACTCTAGAGCTAAACCTTCTATTCTAACGCGTATTTTCCCCCTTTTAACAATCACCCATAACTTTCTAAAGCACATTTTCTCCAGGCAGAAGTTAAACTTGTTCTCAGATCAAAGGTTGTTTGTTTTTTTAAGTTTGAGGTAAATTGGTCAAGTTATTTTTGAGTTACAGGAAAGCAGCAAAAACATATGACTTCAAGACTTTGACCAGCATTCCATTAACTTTACATAACTTAAAAGCAACTCATACTATACATTTCCCATTTACCATGATTTTAATCCTCACTGAGGGAGGAAAGAGCAAATTAAATATGAAAGAGTTGAGTAGTTTAAAGTGTGGGAATTAGAAAAGTACCTGTCTGAGCATACATGATAGAACATTTAACTCATTATTTACGTTACTTCTGCTTAATTTTAAATTACAGTGCTATTAAATCTTCCAAACAACATAAAAAATTAAGTTTACTGTCACATCAGTCCTCTACAAGGAACCTGTTAACATTTTCTTTTCTTTAAAAAGAATAAAGTTAAATGCAATATGTTAATGTTAGCTATATAAAAGAAAGACTGAAAAATCATGTATTTGCAAATCAGGAAATGTCAAAAGTTGACAGTTTCAAAAAGCAATATGAACACAACATGCAAAATATTTTCTATTCTCGTTTTCTCTGCAAAATGTAAAACGTAATCTTTTTATAGTGTATATTTTATGCTATGTATAAAAATATGTACCATTTATAATATATTAAGGCAAGGTAGAAAACCAGCAAACAGAATACAGCATCAGAGTGCACTATGGTTAAACCCGGGCAGGAGAACCCTGAATATTTGGCATTTCTCGACTTGGGTGTTTGATTTCTCAGTTTTAATGAGTTGTTAATTCCTACGTTTATTTATTAATTATAACAAAACTCGGTCCCCCCTCACTGTGGCTTCCTCCTCACTGCCCTGGTAATAACCCAGTAAGGTGCTCGGACACTACGTTTCTTTTACCCGCGGACACTCACACCTGCTCCCTTTAAGGCTTTGACCAGTACTAGGGCTCGCTAGTTACTCGGTGCCCGACACACGTGGCAGGGGCTGAAGGCTGCCGCCCCCACCGCGGCTCTGAGGGAGCTTCCAGAAGATGAACAAAACATTAACACTGGGCACTTCCCCGCGGAGGCTG